ACCCCCCCTTTTTTTTCCACATAAAAGGTAGCATTTACAGGTTCCACACAGATTGTTAAAAAAAAATTAAAGGAACTGTGAGGAACTACTCTTCTCAATTCATTAAATAAGCTTGAAAACTGGGATAAAATAGATAATATTCCGGAAATGTGTAACTTGCCACTTTGATTAACCTAAAGTAAGGCAGATTTCCAAATTACAAATAGAGAAAGGTGTCAAACGAACTCCATCCCCATTTTCCTCTCCCTCCCCCAAATAATAAAATGCCTGGACTAGACAACTTCACATGGAAATTCAAACAAAAGTTTTAAAGAGCAAGTAATTACAATGGTATTTTAACTATTGTATAGGGAAAAAAGAGGAATGTTACCAAATCCCTCTTATAAAGTGGGCATAAAAGTTATCCCCCAAATCAATTATGATTGCACCAAAAAAAAAACAACTATCAAGTATATAGCAAAGGCTCACCAGAAAGCCCTGATAATTCAATATTAGGATATATGAAAATTAATAGCCTTTTCACATTCAAATACAACCAGTTAGAAGATGCAACAACAACAAAAACATTCTTATTTTCAACAACAACACAAAAGATAGAATGTCCAAAAGAAAATGTATGAGATAATTATAAAGAAAAACTTTAAAATGATACAGAGGAATACAAAATAAAATATGAACACAAGATAAAGCAACCCATGTCCTCAGATAGGATGACTCAACATCATAAAGATGTCAATTCTCCCTAAATTAAACTACAATTTTCACACAAGTCTAATAAAAATGTCAGCATCATTTTGTCAGAATAATCAAGCTGAGTCAAAAGTTCATGTGGAAAATAAACAAGTAAAAATAGCCAAGAAAAGTCTGTAACAGTAGAGTAATAAGGAGGAAACCGGCGTCCAAGTATTAATGCATTTCAGAGCTTCAATAATTAAAATAGTGTAATAATGTCACATGAATAAACAGAAAACTCATGGAACAGAATATGAAGTCTAGTAATAGATACATATCTATATGTGGCATTTTAGATCAAGTGACATTGTAAATATGTGGGGAAAAGGTAGATTACTTAATAGTGTTGAGAAAAATGGGTGAGAGAGTAGAAAAGGAAAAGAGGATTTGGTTCCATTCCTAACACCTAATAATAAGATAAATTCCAAATGTATTAAACTTTGAAGTATGGGGACAAAAAGATCAAATTACCAGGGAAACCATAAAAAACAGAAGACATTTATATATATGACATGAAGCTCAGAAACTATAAAAGAAAAAACTAATAAAGACAATTACATGTTTAAAAAAATGTGCATGGTAAAAAGCACAACAGGCAAAGTCAAAAGGCAAATATCAAATTGGGAGGACAAAATCATGAATTTATACTATAGATATAAGGTTAATCTCACTAATGTATAAAGAGTTTTTAGAAGTCAATGAGAAAAAGACAATTCAACAAAAAAATGGGCAAAAATACTGACAGAAAAGGAAATATTAGTTGCTTTTAGACATATATTAAGAAGCTCACTCATAATAAGAAAAAGAAAATTAAACCATTTTCCCCTATAAGATAAACGGAGATCAAAGTTCAATAACTGACTGTGTGGAGGAACAGGATGAGAAAACAGTTTTCATAATTGTTGGTGAAAGTATACATTGGTACAAGTTCTGTGAAAAGCAATTGGTAATGTACATCAAAGTAATAAATACTCTTTTAGAAATATATTCTAAGATATAATTATATGCATATTATATGATGTATATACAAGGTTATATACTGTGGCACTATTTTTAATAGAGGTCTGTCCAGAAGGTATCCAGCCATGTAATATGAAAAACAGACATTTATTGAAGAAGATACAAGAAACATTGTACATAGGACAATGATGCCTCAATCTCCTTCAAAGTAGACACTTGGGACCTCACACAGTTCTCCCAGTCTCTATTAGCTGCCCCATCATATTTTCCTGTATTTCATCATTGGGCTGAACTCTCTTCCTTTTGAAAGGTGAGTTTGGGAAAAGCCAGAAGTCACAGGCCATCAAATGTGGGCTGTAGGGGAGCTGAGTCATCTGGGTGATTTGATGTTTCATCAAAAAACTCTTCAGGAGACATGATGCATGAGCAGGTGCATTGTCAGGATCACCAGTTGCTCATAGCTGCAGCCTTTTGAATAATCCAAATAGATTCTATGGAGGAATGTTCAAGTTTAACACAAAATTTGATGCAGATTCATTTCTCCACTTGCTCAGTCATTATGAATTCGACAGCCACATAATACGCATGCTCAATCAACAGCATCTATCTATCGCCCCCACTGACTAGTGCAATGAAGTTGTCATTGTTCATGCATGCACATTCCAGTCCACTCTCCTCGGCTGCCAGATTATATCAGTGTCGTGCAAGCTGTTCTAATTATATTAACAATGGTTGGACCTTTCCCAGACAGCCCTTGTACATGTGTGTATAATCTCTAAAAATACACATAAGACACTAAGACTGGCTGTGTTAGGAAAGGGGAACTGAGTGGCTGGGCGATAGGAGCATAAAGGACTTTTTAGTATATACCTTTTTATACCTTTTGCATTTTTAAAATTTATAAATTAATAGGAGAAGTCATAAGGCCTTGTGAGTCATAATTTCCAAAATGAAGTACAGAGATAATAAGTAGTAAAAGATATAAGTACAATAGAGATAATGAGGTAAAGTTAGATTTCAAACTTGTCCTCATTTTTACTTCCAGCAAAATGCACACAGCTTCCTCCAATTACAGTCTTGCTTGTTTTCATTGGCCTCAGACCCTATGGTTTTATTTATCTCAAGAGATATCTTAACTTTCTAATAATTTTCCCATCAAAGCTGTAACAATACACATCAATTTTAAAATGTGTTATGTGTAGTTTTAAAATGTGAGTTTCATAGAAGCCACTGTTGAGTTTTGAAGGGATATCGTAATAGTAAAAAAGCTTAAAATCATTCACTGGAGACAATCATCAGAGAACAAGTACACTTTTTGGAATTACTTAAAAAAAACAGTTGTTTAAAAAATATTGCCTGTAATTTGGAAAATATATTATGGGCTATTTTAATAATTGTTTAGAGAATTGAAGATCTCGTTTCCAGGCACTCTTAACTATGAGAAGCACACTAAAAAAGATAACGTTTTAGATGAAATAAAAATTAGTAAAGTCACATGTCAAAGAGCCATGCCATCTATGGAAATGTGCAATTCCAGACAGTTGGATGTAAGAAAATATTGGAATTTCAATTTCTATTATTTTATATTAGTTTTATAATAAAGTAGTATGCTAAAAATATATAATTTATAAATAATAAAGAGTCATGCATACATGCTATTGTGTGCTCAATCTTTTTTATTCACAGAGATGTGTACTTAAAATATTTGGTAAGCACTGACAAATGGTGATAATATTTTACATAAATAAGGAAAAATTTCATGCACTATAAAATGTTTTAACAGGCATAACAAGAGGCAGCACCCATAAGTTATGAATCTTTAAGTGAAACACTGTTGAATCTATTTGATATGGCACTTAGCACAATGCTATATCAAGAGAGATTTTTAATAAATTATAGAGTTTTCAAGTTAGGAAAGAATGTTAGATATTACCTATTCCAAATCTCATTTTAAACATGAGGTAGCTACCACTAGAGGCAATAAAAATGTTCCCCATGTCATATGGCTGACTCATAGTGACAGAGCCAGGTGTAGAATCCAAAGTTCCCAAATATTTGTCTTTGTGCTATATAACACAGTTATACACATATGTGTGCATGACAAAATGGGGTCTTTGAAATTAAGCATCAGGCCAACCAGTATTATATTACTTTATTCTATTACTTTATTCTATTCTATTACTTTATTCTTTCTTATTTATCCATATCTTTATTTTTGTCCTTCTTTTTTTTTTTTAGGCTTCTCAAAATCACACGTCATTTTAGAAAGTGGAATAGTGAGTTTATTTTAATTAATTAATTAATTTATTTTTTCAAATACATTTGTCTCTGCCTATTTTTTTATCGTGTTAATTTTTAAAGCCATTACAAAGGAGAAAGTTTCAAACCTGAAATTAATCCTATTTTCACCTATCTTCTCTAACAGAAACAACCTCTGAACTCTAGATGCCTTTATTTCTTACCAGTAATCCTATAAGAACAACCCAGCCCAAGAAATATATACCTGATCCTACCCAAAGAAAATAAAAGGTAAATGAGTTGGAAGTGGATGATATAGAAGTTGAATTGCAAAGAAGCACTCAGAATTAAAAGTCCATGCTTAAGGGACAGATCCTTTATTATAAACTCCTCAAATCCATTAGCCCGATTTTGAGTTGAATTTTCTCCAGGGGGTATGAAAAAAGTGAGATCATGATGTTAAGGAAAAAAGCTAAAGAGAAATTGAAAGTATTTATCCGGGTAATTCAAAACCATTCTTAATACCTTGATTACAATTGTTTAGTCTTTGCTATATGTTAAGGTAGCTTTTAAGAAATTTGACTATTTTATTTCATAGGCATTGGTTTCAACAATGATTACGTCACTTAACCAGTTTTGTCATATATATTGAGAAACTGATACTGGGTTGGGAAGATTAATGGCATAGCACAAGTAACAGTTTAGCAAAGTAGCATATAATTAAGCACGTATTAAAACTCTTTTTGTGTCATACGCCTGCCTCCACGTAGGTGAAGTGACATGCCCAAGGTCTCACTCAGGAAACTGAGTAAACCAGGCTTCTCTTCTAAGGAGACAGTTGAGACATTTAGGGAGCTGTCTAAATTGGTGGTCTCAAAAGGACTTGGGGAAGTGAGGGAACGGCCACTGGACGTCCAAGGTGCTGACCACATAAATCCGACAATGCAGCCCCGTCCCCCTCCATAGTAACCCCTTACGAAGCAAGCCAGAACTACATTTCCCAGCGTCCCTCAGGCTGCTTCCTGTGCAGCACGCCAATGCCTTGCTTTCCGGCTGCATCTTTTACGTCAGTTCGATTCCAAGGCTCCTGCTACTGGGGCCGAGTTAGGGAACATGGGTTCTCTCACGTCCCAGCCTCTTGAGCCAGTCAAGGTCGCCGCACCCCGTGAGGCCGCTTCTTCCGTCAACCCTGCACCCCTCGATAAACCCAGAGCCCCGACCACTCCAGAGCAACCCCCTGTACTTAGTAACTGCTGGAGCTGTCGCGTGCTCTCCGGATCGGGGTTGATAGGGGCGGGCTGGTATGTGTACTGGTTGGCGCGGAAGCCCCTGAAGCTGGGATACGCCCCGAGCCCAGGGATAATTACGCAGATGGTCATCGGCATCAGTGAGAGTCGGGGCAGGGCCTTTGGGGGAAGGGAGGGGAAGGGAAGGGAAAGGGAGGGGGAAGTGGGGAGCAAGCACGTGAGCAGGGTCGGTTCGCTGGGTCTGGTCACCTGGTGGGAGCCAGTCAGCAAGATGCAGGGGTGATGAGAGGAAGTTGTTAGAACGCTGTTTTTTAAATCCAGTATTTTTTGAGAACTCTTAATGCCCTCAGTCTTTTTAGTGTTGTCAATTGCTCTTAGAGGTAATGGTCCCCATTTTACTGCTGAACAAACTAAGACACAGAGAAGTAAGAAATATCCTGTTCAAAGTCAGACACCCAGGATGTGACACAGCTAGCCTTTCATCCTAGGGTTTATCTGTCACCAAAACGCATGTTTTCTCAAGATCCTAGAGAAAGCCTGAGAAAGGGCACTTAATTTAGAACTTGAGGTTTGAAGTCAGATTGTAAACGTGTGTTCAAAGCCCACATTCTCTGTATGCCACTGGACATAGTGGCCCACAGTCTTTATTTGTAGCTATACTGATGGTCAAGTTGGCTTCCAGTAAAATGTAGTGATTCTTTTAGCTCTTCAAAAACAATTATGTGAATAGAATTTTAGGTTTTAAGATCCCTTACCTTTATAATTAGATTGCCCACATTAATTAAGTTCTTTTAAGTTCCTTTCTAGCTTAGAGAGGTAATGGAATTTTATTTTTCCTAAAATTTTTTTTTAAGGCACCTGATAAGCTATAATGTAGTTTACACATAAGGTATTATTGTTTCTTTTCTAGGCATCGCTTGTTGGGGTGTAGTCATCCTGTCAGACCCCAAAGGAAAGGCCTTCCGCGTTGGTTGAAAGTACCACCAGTGAATTTGTCATCATCTGTCCCTGTCCCATAATACACCGAGCACGCATGGAGCTTATGGATATTCTGGACTTACACTGGAACGTTGATCTACTTCAGTTCTGCAGATACTACAAGACTGAAAAGACAAGCATTGGCTGACATTCTTTGCACACGAGTATTTGTGGACTTCTCGGTCTCCACAAGGACCAATAAATTTCTCAGAGAACAGAACAGGTTCTGTGTCTTAACTGAGGAACGAGAATATAGTAATAAAAAAAGAAATGATAAACCAAATGGGAAAATAAACTAAAATAAGTCCCTTTTACTTCTCCCATAACAGGTCAATACCGATTTATTAACCTAATCCTGAATAGGCATCATAGAGTATACAGACTTACATAAAACTGTATCTGTGTACTGCTCCTACTTACCAAGGCATCAAATCCATCACCTTATAACAGTTTCACAGCTACTCTATGGTAGTTATTTCCTTGGTAAGTGAACCTTAAAGAGAGTCCTAGAGATTTGCCCAGGGTCATTCAGCAAATCAGTGTTGGAGCTAGAACTTGTTCTTAGGTATCCTTGTTCTAGTCTTTCAGAACTAAGATGGTTCCAAAGAGGCACGTATTGCCTTTATGAAACTATCAAAAATATCTGTGAGAAATTCAATACCTTTTATAATTAAAAAAAATACATATTCTTCCACGGGCATTGGAAATGTTTCTGTGATGAAATTGAGATGCCTATGAGAGTAGGACTTAAAATTAGGCAGTTCATGTCTAAGAGAAATCTGTGCTTCCTACTAGTTCTTTTTTTCTTTCTGATATACCATAGCTTCTCTAAAATTATATGTATCTCTATTTCAGAGCAGAAAGGTACTCTTGAATTCACCTGCCAATCATAGAGTAAGTTTTGAATGATAATTTGAGCAAGTACCTTTAGGGTGTTACTTTTTCTAGAATTGTGTAGAAGTGCCTTAGTCTGTTAAGCCTCACAAATGATAGTAAGACTTGCATTATCTATATGAGAGTTCATGGTATGGATGGTGCTATATATTATCTATTCAGTTGAGGGACATTTCAGCATAGACAGCAAGGTATTTATGTGGAATGTACAATTCAGTTACGTGATGTTACTGGATAAATTGGTGTTCGACTGGAGGGGACCATAGAGGACCTAAAGCAGGAGGGTCCTCCTTGAAGCTCTTTGATACATAATCATTCCCTAAAATAACAGCGAAGACAAGTTACTCCTGCTTTAGAAGGCAAGCTGTTCTGATGGACAACAGCAGTCTGAACAATTTCTTAGATTAAATAAAAAATGCAGATCTAATTTATTTACTTGACCTACTGGATGAATAGAGTAATGCAAACTTTCATATACAGAAAGGGCAAAAGTAGGTTTACAGTTACGAATATATGAAACAAAGTTTATTTTTGTATTATTTGTAAAATAACTGTAAACCTACCTTTGCATACCTCTGTAATTTTAACTTGTTTCCCAGACTTTGTACAACAAGGAAATGAGAGGTTTTTCCAAATAGACTTGCCTACTCACCACATATATTGCCAAGGTATGTATGGTTCTTCCCAATTGGGCCATTTAACTATGGGAGTAAAGTACTGTTCTATCATGTCTATAGGCAGTTACATGGGAATAGTTACATTTCCCACCTCCCCTACCTAATAAGTTAGTTAGAATTGGCAGTTAAAAGTTGTTTTTCTTTTCAAGTGTATTGCAAAATTTGATTTCTGTCAGTGCTAAGTCGGAGATCCTATTTGTTTTAGGGAGGACCCTTAAGAGAAAAAAAAAGATACCACCTTAGTCCTGCAATGCAGAAAGTGTACTTAGTGCCCCTATTCCATTTTGTTGAGAATGAAGTGGGGTGAGCAGGGTAAACAAGCTCAAGAACCAATGGATTATTAGTAATGTAAGAACAACAGCTTAATTATGATTTATGGATTTTAGAATCTCAAGAGCATCGAATTGAGTTTATAAAGACTCAATTACCATTATCAAAGAGGGAGAGAAGAGAAAAAGTACAAAAATGGGTAATTTAAAATACTTAAGTCTTCCTTGTAACACAAACTGAAATGTGCACATATGTGTGAACATTGACGCTTCATGATGTCCAAGATACCTATTAGCTCAACCTTTACGTAGTATAAATATTGGTATCTCAAAATGATCAAGAAAATCATTATACCACCTCTGCTGCTTTTGTGTATTACATTGACTACTCTGGAATCCTGTGACCAGCTAATAATATGTCTGAGTATATTAAAGGACCCAAGCATAGATCGATCAACAGGATCTTCCTGTGTGTTGGCAGAAATGGCGGGTCTCGCTTTCCCTAGGCCAGTTGCTGAGACAGCTGTTGTTGGCAGCACTGGAGTGTTCCAAATACAGATCATTCTAAACAGTTCTGGAATTTCACCTGACCAAGACCAATTGCAGAGACAGCTGTTTCTGGTGGCCCTAGAGGTTAAGCATCTCAGCCATGATTTATACTTCAACTCCACCCTCAGTTCAGCATTTGCTCCTCTCTCCTTTTTATTACTTGTTCCTTAGCCGGGCTATCTCTGAATTAGGGGCCTCTTGAATGAAGCCAGTTGATTTGACAACATAAAACATATTGCTCCTAAATTAAATATATGTTCAGGGCAAGCATATGTTCAAGTACTGCCTCAAACCAGCCTTGGCCTCAGCTGATTTATTGTTGGGACTACATTGATCAAACAGACACTTCACAAATCTTAAAGTTAGGAACAGTAAGCAATTTTGAGTTGAAAAACTTTTTTTTTAAGTGAAGGATAAATGCTTGCCTTGACTCAATGATTATATAGGTGTTAGGGGCACAGAGTTCAAGAGTGAAAGACCTATAATTTCACATCATTCAGAGGTATCCTAGAGTACCCTGAGAAAATATGTCACTCTTCCAAATGCAGGGCTCTTTGCCTTGGAGATACTCAGTAACTTGTCATTCAAATGTAAATAGAGTGTAGAGAAATAGCCCAAAGGGCAAATGTTAAATGAAGCAATGCCACTAAAAATCACTCCTCAGTCCTCTGACTAAACTTACCTGTGCTTCAGAAATGTGGTCGGCAGGATTCCTGTAATGGTCCCCCAATGGTCCAGACCCCTGTGTACACACAATTCCTCCCAGTTATTTAATAAAACACCATTCTAGCTGTGCTGTAAAGGAACTTTGCAGATGTAATTAATGTCCCAGAACAATTGACCATAAGATAGGTAGCTTATCCAGATGGGCTAATCACCGGATCCCATTTAATATTGGCCTAGAGGTCAGAGACCTGAAAAGTTAGAGATGAGAAGCTGGAGAGGAATTCAATGCCTGAGAAGTCCATCACAGGCTTGGGAGAAAACAATCACCTATGTTGTGAAAGGCGAATGGGGGCCACGTCATTAGGAACTGCCAGCAGCCTGGAGTCACTGAGTGTGAGAGCCAGCCAACTGCTAAAAGGGAAACTGGAAACAAGGACCTCAGTTCCACAACTGCAAGAAAATGAATTCTGCCAACAAACTGTGAGCTTGGAAGAGGGCCCTATGAGAACCAAGAACTACAGTTCCAGCCAACACCTTAGTTTCTGCCTAGTGAGAAGCTAAGCAAAGCATCTCTTGTTGTGCTCTGAAACTGTGAGATAATAAATTGGTATTAAGTTGCCAAGTTAGCAGTAATTTTTTACACACCAATAGAAAACTAATATAAGAAATGTTTTGCAGAATCATAGTCATAACCAAATACACAGCCCCATTCTAGGTAATCTGGAAATAGCAGTAAGGGGCCATCTGAATAGCATTTGTCTTTACAGTTACAGTCGTCACTTGTTCTTTCAATGGTGGTTCCCTTGGATAGTTGTTATGATCTGTTTTCTAGCAAAATCATTCCCTGCTAAAATTTTTTCGAAAAAATTACAGTACCATTTTTACATGCTAAACATTATGCTGAGTGCTTTGCAGGAATTGTTTTTAATCCTCAGCAACTCTGTTTTACAGATAACTGAGGCCTGGAGCAGGTAAGAATTTTCCCAGGGCCTCAGGGGATAAACTAGTAGTGGCTTGGAGGAGAGTGTTAATTGGGAATTGGGAATTTGTGTTGCTCTAGTCATTTTTTGAGCATCCCTTTCTCAACGTGTTCAGGTATCAAAACTAGAAATTTTGAATCTTGATTTTCAATTTTTTTTCCTTGGTTATCCATTAATTTAACATGTTTTAATATGTTTTTCAATCTCTTGGTTTCCTTTATTTTTTTAAAAAACAATTGAGGTTATATCATTTATCACACTGACAGCAATTTACACATTAATCCAGAACAAGAGCTTCTCCCCGAGTAAGTGCAGGCCCTTCCGTGACTTTTCCCCCGTCTTTCTCCTGAACCTCAGACCCCATTACCCAGCCACAGCAGGGGGTCCTACCTCTCTGTCTTCACACAGCAGAGTCCCAGCTTGTCCCAGAGGAACTTTTCTTTCTTCTACCTACCTCTCCTCCTCTATTTCTTGTTCACAGCATTTTTATCTCATCAGCTGGCCAAGCTATGAACTATGATATTATCTATGACTCTTTACTCTCACTCTTTACTTGTGATCTGTTGATGAGTGCTGGTTATTTTAACCCTTTGGATAACCAATAAAGTGTTGATATCCAACGTATGTAAAGAACTCATAAAACTTAACACCAAAAAACCCAACAACCCAATTAAAAAATGAGCCAGGGACCTGAATAGACATTTCTCCAAAGAGAGCATACAGATGGCCAACAGACATATGAAAAGATGCTCAATGTCTCTAATCATAAGTGAAATATAAATTAAAACCACAATAAGATATCACCTCACACCTGCCAGAAGAGCTAACAATAATAAATCAACAAACAAGTGCTGGTGAGGATGTGGAGAAAAGGGAACCCGCAATCACTGTTGGGGAAAATGCAGACTGCTGCAGCCGCCATGGAAAACAGTGTGGAAGTTCCTCAAAAAGCTAAAAATAGAACTGCCTTGTGACTCAGCAATTCCACTTCTGGGTATTTATCTGAAGAAATCCAAAACATTAACTTTAAAAGACATATGCATCCATGTGTTCATTGCATCATTATTTACAATAGCCAAGATATGGGAGCAACCTAAGTGCACCTTGATTGCCCACTGGATAGAGAAGATGTGGTATATAATATATTCAGTGGAATATTCCTTGGCCATAAAAAATGAAATCTTACCATTTGCAACAACATGGATGGATAGGGTATTATGCAAAGTGAAATAAGTCAACAGAGAAAGACAAATCCCATATGATTTCACT